AATGTTACTTCTTTTACAAAGATCAGAGGAAGGAGAAATATCAGAATAAGACTATTACCCCCTTCACGAAACAGGTCTGGGTCAGGAAATTAGAAGTAATATGCTATCCCACAGTAGTTCTGACCGCCTCTATGACTGAAGCAAGATGGTATTTTGACAGTGGGTGTTCCAGACATATGACTGGAAATGTCAAGTGTCTCATGGCTGTTCAACCTAGCAGTGCGTCAGTAACATATGGAGACGGACAAAAAGGAAAGATAGTTGGAAAAGGTACTCTAAATGTACCAGGATTGCCTCATCTGCACGAAGTTCTCCTAGTCAGTGGTTTGAAGACAAATCTTATTAGCATCAGTCAGCTGTGTGATCAAAATTAGAATATGTGCTTCAATCATGACTGTTGCAGAGTCCGTGATAAAGCAGACCAAGTGGTAATGGAAGGAACACGTACGATCCTCTGATAATTGTTATGTTCTGACTAATGAAACAACATGTCTAATATCTAAAACAGACGAATCAAAACTGTGGCATCGACGATTGGGTCACATAAACTTCAGAGATATGGATAAAATGATCAAATTAGATGCTGCTCGTAGGATTCCTAAGCTCAAAATAGAACAGGAAGGAGTTTGTGGTGCATGTACCATTGGAAAGCAAATAAGGGCTCCTCACAAAGCAGTAAAAGTGATCACTACTTAGAGATGTCTAGAACTGGTCCATATAGACCTCATGGGACCAACTCAGGCTGAAAGCATTGGCGGGAAGAAATATATCTTTGTGTGTGTAGATGACTTCTCTCGGTTCAGCTGGGTATACTTTCAGAGAGAAAAATCTGAGGCATTCAATGCTTTCAAGACTCTATGCATAAGAGTACAAAAAGAAAAGGACGAGCCTATCATAAAAGTTCAAAGACTGAGAAGTGATCATGGGAAAGAGTTTGAAAACTCCTTATACTCATATTTCTGCTCTGAAAATGGAATAGCTCATGAGTTCTCGGCTCCCAGAACAGCACAACAGAATGGTGTAGTGGAAAGAAAGAATCGGACCTTGCAAGAAATGGCCAGAGTGATGTTACACGCATCGCATCTACCGCAGCGTTTCTGGGCTGAAGCAGTGCACACAGCATGTCATACAGTGAATAGAGTCTATCTTAGACCAGGTACGACTAAGACACCATATGAGATATGGAAAGGGAAGAAGCCGAATCTGAAGTACTTCCATGTGTTCGGCACAAGATGCTATGTTCTAATTGATAGGGAACAAAGAGGAAAGTTTGAACCCAAGAGTGATGAGGGCATCTTCCTTGGATACTCTCTAAACAGTCGAGCTTATAGAGTTTACAACAAACGAACTCAATCAGTCATGGAATCAGTGAATGTTGTTATCGATGATAACCCAGGAGAATCAGATGAAACATCTGTGATTGATCCAGTGACAGATCTACCTAACAGTGAGCCGTTAAAGACAGCTGAGAAAACCAAACTGCCTGACACACATGATTCATCAGAAGAAGACAAAGAAAGCCCAGAACAGGAGAACTCTCTCTCGGATGGTGATGGTAAAAATAAGCCCACCAGAACACAGAAAAATCATCCACCAGACAACATAATTGGTAATACATCAGATGGAATGAACACCAGAAGTCGGATGAGGAGCAATCTGATAGAAATATCCGGGTTTGCCTGCTACAGCTCAAAAATAGAACCAAAAAATGTGAAGGAAGCCTTGCAGGATGATCTATGGATTAAGGCTATGCAAGAGGAGCAACATCAGTTTGACCGCAATCATGTGTGGGATCTGGTACCAAGGCCTGACCGTGTTAACATAATCGGAACAAAGTGGATCTTCAAAAATAAGACTGATGAAGCCGGAAATATTGCAAGAAACAAAGCTCGGTTGGTTGCTCAAGGATATACACAAATAGAGGGAATTGACTATGATGAAACGTTTGCCCCTGTTGCAAGACTGGAGTCAATCAGAATTTTGTTGGCAGTCGCGTGTATTCTGGGATTCACACTGTTCCAGATGGATGTTAAGACAGCGCTCTTGAATGGGTATCTGCATGAAGATATCTATGTGGCACAACCTAAAGGTTTTGAAGACCCAGTTCATCCGACACATGTCTACAAGCTTAGAAAAGCTCTCTATGGGCTTAAACAAGCTCCAAGGGCATGGTACGAATGTCTGACACAGTATCTGTTACATCATGGGTATAACCGAGGGAGTGTTGATAAGACCTTGTTTGTTAAAACCACTGGAAGTCATGTTACTATAGCTCAGATTTACGTAGATGATATTGTCTTCGGATCTACTCTACAGAAACATACTGATGACTTAGTGAAGGTTATGAAGGAAGAATTTGAAATGTCCATGGTGGGTCAACTGACTTATTTCTTAGGACTTCAAGTTAAACAGAGTACTGAAGGCTACTTTATCTCACAAGAAAAATATGCCAAGAATTTGGTCAAAAAGTTCGATCTGGAGTCATGTAAAACTCCCAGAACTCCTATCTCCACTTCCACAAAGGTGTCAAAAGATGATACTGGAGCATCAGTTGATAACACAGTCTATCGAAGCCTAATTGGAAGTCTGCTATATTTGACCGCAAGTCGACCAGATATTATGTTCAGTGTTGGGATGTGTGCAAGATATCAATCTGATCCCAAAGAGTCACATTTGATAGCTGCTAAACGGATCTTGAAATAAATCAAGGGCACAATTTAGTATGGGTTATGGTATTCCAAGGACAGTGAACTCAGCCTGAGTGCATATTGTGATGCTGATTGGGCAGGAAATATTGATGACCGAAAGAGTACATCAGGTGGATGCTTCTTTGTTGGAAAGAATTTAGTCTCATGGCTAAGCAAGAAGCAGAATTCAATCTCTTTAAGTACTGCAGAGGCAGAATATATAGCAGCTGGAGGATGTTGCACTCAGTTGGTTTGGATGAAGCAAATGCTTCTAGATTATGGTCTCACACAAAGGACTATGACACTCTACTGTGACAATGTCAGTGCAATAAATATTTCAAAGAACCCAGTTCAACACTCCAGAATGAAGCATATTGATATAAGGCATCACTATATCAGAGACTTGGTAGAATCAAAGGAGATAGAATTGGAATATATTCAAACAGATAAGCATTTGGATGACATACTGACTAAGCCTCTGGACGCAAATCAGTTTGAGATTCTCATATCTGCTCTGGGAATCTGCAGGATTGATCAATAAGGCAGAATGATAACACAGAATGAGAGTGTATGGTAGTCTCAATCACGGGTCAAAATTACATATTTGACTTCCTTTTTAATCTCTCTTCTGTTTATGTTAAGATATTATCTTAACCTTGATTACCAAATTTAATTCGCCTCTTTCAAAATTCAAATCATCCGTTTTATCCCTAAAAAGAAGCTATACCGTTGCGTCAATCACATCAGCTGCATGCATTCTGACAACCGCATTAAATAGTGTTCATCACCCTTGGGATTATATATTTGATCGGGTCTCTTTTCACTTTGGAGAAAGAGTTCTAAATACTACTTAGCTCTCTGTTATATGCTTCTGATTCTACACCTAGGATTTCTCTCTTCTTTTTCCCAAATCGCACAACAATGACGGATGCAGTGAGAAATATTATCATCAAGCTAGGAAGGAAAATCCATTCACCAGAAACAACCATGAAGCATGTAAAAACTCTTCTTCAACTCTCTATGAAAAAGAAGTTGAAGCTAGACTCTGTTCTCCGCGACGAAATCATAGTCACAGTGCTCTCAGACTACCCGGAGTTCTATGCGGACTGGTCCGACGATGATACGAGTGATCTTTTGGTGTTGGCCTCCGAAGCGAGTGATGATGTTAGTCCTGCGTCCATTCCTGAGCCTGAAGATGGTAATCGTGCTGGGGCTTTCCTCCAATATTTCTCCCAAAGGGCTCTGGAATCCGAAGAAGTCTCACATCGACGGATAGTAGCTCAACCTCTCTATCTTCAAGCTGCACAGAAAGAAGCCAAACACCGTATCGAGATTCTTCGTAACAGGTCTAATACTTCTGAAACCCCTATTGAGATTTCTCCTGATAAGCCCGATGATTTAATTTATGATGATATTGAATCTGCTCTGCCTGTTCCACAATCTGATAATGAGAATGCTTTACTGTCTGTGAAATCCTCTGTGTCTGCTGATCCTCATCGTTTATCTTTTGAAAAAATTGAGTATACAAAAGTTGCCCTTAACAGTGATTCTGAAGAAAAAGTTAACCAATCTGATAAGGTAGAAAATTTATGTCTGGTTGTGTACTCTGCTGATATTGCGAGATCTGCTATTCCTGTTGTGTCTTTATCTGATGCTACTGAGTCACCGGTTGAGGTTTGCCCGGTTGATGTTTCTCCTAAGTTGCCTTCTGAAATTGAGGCTGCTAGACATTCAAGCCCTCGTCCCTCTGACCCGGTTGATGGAGTTCCAGTTTATACATCCTCTACCTTGGCTGAGAGGCTTGACCACGTCCGACATTTTGCGGGTTTGCCTTCTACTTCTGTACCGGAACCATATAGAGTTATTCATCCTGATGATCCCTCTGTGCAGATAGACAGTGATGATGAGAGAATACTGACTGAAGTTTATGGTCCACAAGCCCAGTTGTCTAGACCTCTTACAGTGGAAGCAACATCACATCCAGACTCATCTACTTTCAAAATTCGAGAAGTCTCCAAACTTCTTGGCTCTTCATCTGCCCCTGTGTCAAAAACAAGCCACTCGGTTTCACCAAGCCCAACTGATCATTCTCCATCCAAAGAGACTAGAAAATCTAAACGCAAAGGAGTCCTTGAGAGAGTAGCCGTTGAAATCGGTGATAATAGTATTGATACGATTCAACCTGAGAAAAGACAACGATCTGCTGAATCCATAAAGGCAGAAAGTGATCCACCTGTCCAATAGGTGTTCAAAACTCTAAGATCGTCTGTCAAGAACAAGGCTCCTGCTACGGCTTCCACCACTTCTACCAGAATGATGAAACCCACTACAAGGTCGAGAGGAAGGAGTGTCACTCTTGATGTCCAAGCTGCTTCGGACAAACCTGACACCACAATTTACAAACCTCAGTTTGTTTCTGCTACAGCTCAAGGAAAGTGGTCTACGATGGTTCGGCGAGAGCTTATAGTTCAGCGATCGGTTGATGAGAATCAGTTGAACTCTGTATGTGACATTTTACCCTTGCTGAGTGAGGTTGGCCTCATGAAGACTGTCACCTCCATTTGCCTCTACTCAAAGCTGCTGACCTACGACTTCTACTGCAATCTGAATGAAGAAATTGACAATCTTACGGGGACCCGGTGCATGCAGATTTTCATTAGAGGAAAGTGGTATATTTTCGGTCCAAACATGATTAATGAATACTATGATTTGAAGGGTGTTGATGAAGACGAGATTACGGATTGGGATTTGGTTGCAAGGACTCTCACTGGTGGTCAAACTCCTGTATGGCCTACAGGTGATATTGACACTCTGTCTAACTCGAAGCTAACCTCCAAATATGTTATTCTGCACCGAATTGCCCTCCACAATTGGCTACCTTCTGCCCATTTTCATACAGTTGGCAAGCAACTGGCTGCTCTCCTGTTCCGTATTGGCACCAAAATGTCCATTGATCTAGGGAAGTGGATCTTCTATCATTTCCTCACTTTGATTCATCCGAGGGAGCAGAAGGTAAGATTGCCTTATCCTAATCTCATATTTGGAGTTCTGACGACGCAGGGCCTAGTACCAATGCCAAGTGAGATTATCAGTCCAACTCTGCTTTATACTGTTGATCCACGCCTCTTGATTGGCAAGCACATCCGAGATGTTACACCTGTTAATGCTCCTCCATCATTTGATGTTGGCGCTCCTGTTGACAACTCGCCACATGCGAAGGACGTTCAGCTATCTCTCCGTCTGAAGGCTCGGGTGTCTGAGCTTGAAACTGTTAATGGCATTATTACGAAGCAACTCACTGCAGCCCGTACTGATATTGCGACTGTTCTGCTTCGTCTGAGTCTACTGCTGCTGAGAATGTGAAGTCTGACAGTGAAGGTCCCTCGAATGCTTAAATTTTCATTTGTCTATCTTTTGCAAAAAGGGGGAGTGCCTAAACTCAGGGGGAGTTGTTTGTGAGTTTTTGTTGGACTCAGTATCTTCTGGCCCTGTTTGGGCATGTGAATGTGATGGCCTCATGTTTTGTGAAGAATGTTTCTACTTATCTTTTGTCCAGCACGACTTGTGTGCTGTTATTGTTTAAGGGTTGTAATTCAGACTTATGTCCTTTATGCGACAGTTATCTTCCTTTTCTCCCTAGTTTATTGTTTTATCTTATTCGAGTTGTTTTGCCAAATAATAGCCAAAGGGGGAGTTTGTTAGTGTTTTTATTTTCTCCAAAAAACCCCAACATATAATTGGCAATATTATTATGGCAAACTAAGAAATGGTTTAGCTTGGTGTCGGTTTGTTATTACAGAAGACTGATTGATCACGTTCATCAACAGACGCACTGACACTGAAGATCTGATAAAGGAAGATGTTTCCAAAATGCTGAACTCGATTTGAGAAGACTTTTTTTAGAAAGAAAATCAGCGGATCTGTTTTGGAAGGTATGGACCGAATCTTTAAGATTGCATTCTTCACAAATCGTCCTACCATCTACAATCAAAGATATCTTTGGAGAGTGTTCTTACTAAGGAAGTATAAGTACCCTCATTCGGTCATGAATTAGGGTTACATTTTAAAGAAGATAGAAACACTCCCTGCTATACAGACGATCATATCTTTGATTATCATGCCTCTTCTCAAGATTATATGTTCTTGGTGATTATGATGAAGAACTTGAGAAGAACTATTGTTGCTTAAACGAAAGGACGCGAAGATCACTCAGTTGTGGGAACAACGTGGGAATGCGTCATTGAAGCGGACTGCATTAGATTTAGCTCTCCAATCGAAGGGATTTCGTTGGACTTCTACATGCGTGGCTCTCCGCCTTCAACAATCCACTAAACCTTTGTAGACTGGGTATGTACCTTGTGTGGGGCACTTGGGTGAGATTCTTATTTCTCGGTGATCGTCCCCCAGATGTAGATACACACTGTATCAAACTGGGTAAACATTGTATGTGTGTTTTATTATCTGCTTTAGTTTATTCCTTGACAAACTAATCTCCAATCTATCTGTTTGACTGACAATTCACGCCTTCACATCAGTCAGTCCTATATACCAGTTGCTTATTTCTAATAATCATCTTAAACTGGGGAAATGCAAAATTACATTCACAATGAAGGAAGTTTGAAAGTATATTGTACAGTGAAGTGTATGTTTGAGCATACCATTTCTTAAAAGTGCATAAGTGGCCAACGTGAGCCTAAGTATTATTTTCCAAAAACTCATATCTATTTCAGAAAGTCATTACCTTGTTGTACTGAGAATTTGTTGTGAAGTTATGTGCACAAGATTGCATAAGTAAAGTTGTTGCATAAGATTGCATTGCATGAGTTTTATCTATATGTATCTATTGTGAGGAAAACTTGTTTTGGAGGACCGTTAGGACCATGTCCTTTCGGAAGAAAAGAGAAAGAAATGGACATTGCGATCTGATATGAAGTAACGAGGTCGATATTCTCGAGTTATTAGGTTGGAAACTGCCCGCCAGGCTTGGAATCCTGGTCAGGGGGTGTGCACACTGATAGTTCCGTACCTGTTCCACAGAGTTTGAGAAATAGAACCAAGAGAGTGGTTCTGTGGGCGAGATGAGTATTAGGCCGGCTAGACGTCGAGCCCGGATAGGTCCATTCACGCTACGGTGAAGTTCCTACCTTGCCCACGAGTAAAGAAAGCGAGTCATTACGACTCTAAGAAAGCGAGTCATTGCGACTCTAAGAAAAGAAGAGCAAAGCGAGTCATTGTGGCTCTTAGAAACCTCCACAGAAAAAGTATTATTTTTGGCAAATGTGTGTATATGTATATCTATCTATACTTATACTAAAGCATCATGTTTATTTTATAGCAAGATTAAGTTAAGTGCACGAGATGGCATTTTGAGCATGAGATTGCTTATGAGATATATGCTCGCACGAGATTGCATGATTAGTAGTTGAAGGCATGAGATTGCTTATGAGATATATGCTTGCACGGAATTGCATGACTAGTAGTTGATAACATGAGATTGCTTAGAGATTTTATGATTGCATGAGATTGCATGATGAGGATATGATAGCATGAGATTGATTTGAGATTATATGATAACACACAATCGCTTATTGAGTTATGGGTTAGCATGAGATTGCTTACTGAGATATATGATGTTACGAGTTTGTTGATAAGTTAAGTATTTGTTAAAGCATGCCTATCTGAATAATTAGGTTGCAAGTATATAGAAACCCTGATGAGCATATAATATGTTGCTTAAGTGTTTGAGAATACTTGATTTAAGTATGAGAAAACTGTTTTCCAAAAGTATATATTGTTGTACTTTACAGGGTTGAGTGGCGTTATACTTAGCCTCGTGCTAACGGGTTTGTTTTCTACTTGTTGTTTGTTAACCCCTTTCAGGTGGACCCAGTTCATGAGAGAGTACGAGTTAGACTAGATTAGCATAGATAGCTATTTGTAGTCTAAACTCTTGTTGATTATTACTTTTTGAGATTTGTAGTTGACTACCCGTGTTTTTATGGTGCTGGACACCGGGGTCTCATCCCCTAGTTTGATGGATGTTAGTAGACTTTAATGTTTAGTTTGATTTATCTTTAGCCTGTGCAATCACCGTGAAAGGTGATTGTGGCGGTGACACCTCTTCTAAGTTGATTAGTAAAGTTTATTCTGCTGTTTTAGATTATCTTTAAAGGTTTAGCCTGTTAATTAAGTTTTTAAGAAAAGGGGGGGGGGGGGGGGGGGTGTTACAGTGGTAGGTCGTTTCCTCACTCACGCATCATTAAAGTTGTTTCATGAGACAAGTCATGGCGGCGGTCTGGAAGCCGGTGAGAGGCGTGGTAATCTCTGAAATTCAACCAAACTTGTTTCTATTCGAATATTATCATAAAACGGATATGCTGCGAGTCTTGGAGGAGGGTCCTTAGTCTTTTGATAACAATACCTTGGTCTGCAAGGAACTTGGAGACGGTCAACTGCCAGGTGATGTAGTGCTGGACTCGGTTGATCTGTAGGTCCAAGTTTATTACCTGCCGATTGGTTATACAACAGACGTGATGCTGGAACAGGTTGGGAATTTCCTGGGAACCTTCATCAAGGTGGACGAGAGGTAGCTAGGGGGACCATTGAAAGCCTTCTACCGTGTTCGTGTGTCTCTCCCGGTTACGCGACCTTTGAAAAGACGTACGAAGCTAATAAGACGAGATAAATCATGGGGCTGGGTGAATTTTAAATACGAGCGTCTGCATACATTTTGCTTCTTCTGCGGTTTGATGGGGCATTCTGAGAAGTTTTATCTGAAAGCTCGCGATTCTGTTTTACCGCTAGAGCACTACCCATTTGGCACCTGGATACGGGCAGGCTAGGCGAAGAGTCTAAGACCAATAGGAGATCCATGGTTGCTACCGTCGTCTGGTCCTGTACAGTCGGCTAACGGTGCCAGCGAGGTGGCAGGTGACTTGGCTAGGCCAGACAGTGTATGTAGTGAAGGGGAGGCAGTGAGCGTCGGTCAGTGCAGCACTGGTCCGGAAGTTGGAATTACGGCGTTGTCTAAACGTCGTAGGCAGAATGGAGGCAGCGGTGGTAGAGCTGGAGTGTCGTCGAGTTTGGATGTTGCTATGATTGACAGTTCAAAAAACTTGCAGTAGGCGGGTTCTAGTCACTAGACCCGCCCATCCCAATGAGTACACTTAGCTGGAACTGTCGTGGCTTGGGCAATCCACGCACAGTTCGAGAAATTATGGACATGGGTCCTGTAAGAAGCCTGACTTTGTGTTTTTGATGGAGACTAAAGTGGGACGTGACCATGCTGAGAGGTTGCGTGTCAAGTTAGGTTTTGAAGGTTTATTCTATGTGGAGAGTATTGGTTTGAGCGGAGGTTTAGCATTGTTTTGGAGGAAGAATAGCACTGCAAGTTTACTTAGCTACTCACGGAACCATGTAGATGTCGTGGTAAACATGGTTGGTTTAGCTCCCTGGCGCATGACTTGCTACTATGGCTTCCGGAGCGTGGTAGAAGAAGGGAAACTTGGGACTTATTGCACACCTTGGCCCCCTGGTCTTCTCTTCCGTGGGTGGTTGTTGGTGATTTTAATGATCTTCTTTATCAGTCAGAAATACGGGGCAGGATACCTCACCCGGAGAATCTCCTACGCGGCTTTGGGGAGGTTTTAGATGACTGTGGGTTACTGCAGTTACCTATGGAAGGCTATCCGTTTACCTGGGAAAGAGGTGTTGGCACTAAGGCTTGGGTGGAGGAGAAATTGGGCAAGGTGGTAGCCTCTGCAGGTTGGCGCGATTTACTTGAACGAGCCAAGGTGGTGAATTTATTAACTCGTACATCGGATCACTCGGCTCTCTTCCTTGCTCTAACCGATGATAGGGTAGGGAGTGGAGGCGCACGTGGGTTCTGGTTTGAGATGGCATGGCTTCTAGATGAGGGTTGCAGAGGGGTTGTGGAGCAAGCTTGGGGTGACGGATGGGGTGGTGATGTGTTGGGCAACTTTAGACTGTGCAGGAATCGCCTTCAGAAGTGGGGTGGTGATCGCTTCCACTTATTTGGCAAGCAAATCAAGCTCTTGCGTTCAAAGCTCACGGCTTTGAGAGGCTGGACTGATCCGAGTTCACTAGCCGAGTATCAATTGTTGGAGTCTCAGTTGTGCCAGTTGGAGGCGCAGGAGGACGTTTACTGGAGGCAACGAGCAAAGCAGCATTGGCCAAGGGGAGTTGATGCCAACACAAAATTCTATCATAGGTATGCCTCTAACCGAAAACGCAAAAATACCCTTACTCGTATAAAAGTTTTACTGGGAATTGGGTAGGGGATACATCTATGAATTCTGTGGTTTTACAATACTTTGAACAAATCTTTAAGTCTAGTAGCTTAC